TTTATAAAGTCAGTAACTATTATCTATATATAATTTGGTATTGTGGCATGTGCAATATTGTATCATAACTTTAGATTAAGAGTGTAATTACAAGCTTAAATACTTAATCTACAGCCACTAGACTTTTTATTGCTTCCTCAGAAGGCACTTAAAAACTCTCCAGATTGATTGTTTATTTGGAGCACTCGCTAATAGGTCGCTGGTGGCAATGATGCAGTTCCCTGTGTCCATGGTAACTGTTTTGACGGATTGTAAACCCATCGACAGCACATTAGGGCACTCAGCGTCCAATTGATTTACAACAACGGGCGACCATCGGATCGGGAAGCAATTCGGGATGGGCCCGTAGAGCTGAGAACGGAGCACAGAGCCCTGGCCACACAATTGTGGCCAAAAAGTGGCCCGCAACAGAATCACAGCCCCATCATCCTCGTCCACCCCCAACCCCCACCCACCCGGTGGGCAAGTGGCGATGGAAATAATTCAAATATCGACAAACACTCGCAGCAGCGGAATCAAAACACCACAAATCGCGGCTCGTTCGCATCCCAAAGATACACAAAACTGCAGAGAGTTCTGGGATTTCCGTGGGGTGCAGGGCATCAGATGGGATCACATCCGATGTTTATTTGTTTGTTTCAAGTGTGAAATTGGTGGACTGTTAGGGAGAGTTGCCCTCTATGGCTATGTCGCCTCAGGTGAAATGATCAGCTAATATTTAATGGACGACTAGAGCTGAAACTCACTATTTAATATTTATTTGTAACTTTTCTGATAATTATTATATTAAAATATCCCATACTCAATATCCCATATATTTAGATCCATTTTTATTGATTTATTCTGATAAAAATATATGAGGTTTATACCAATTAAAAATTTACATTAAAAAACATTCTTTTGTCAAAGCCTAAACGATTTATTAAAACCAAAATTGTCAATTCAATTGCGTAAAATTAATATTTAATCGAGCATTTAAAAATTTGTATTAATAGCTTTATGACGGAATTTGATGTCTCGTATTTAAATGAGCTCTACATGTTTTCGGAATTTTAACTATTATACAGGTCCGCTGAAATATTATTTACCAAGATTAAAAGTGTAAATAATTTAGAACATTTTTCTCAGACTGCATTTCGTTGATGTCTTCCATCTTGAAGAAATGTGCAGCTCTCCGTATTCGTTAGCGTTGACCTCCTACTTTTGGCCAATAAATTGTGCATCGTAAAAATTATTATTTATAATGCGAAAATTTGTGGTATCTGGATGCATTAATTGGCATTGCCTCACCCCACCGCCGTTCTCATATGATATAGGATATTTTCTTGGCCTATTGTCAGAGGCGATGACTACGGCAGTTTGGCTGAGACTTTCCATGCACGAAATGTGCGAAAAAAATAAATTCTGTTGTTTTATTTATGTTTACAGACTGATTTATTCCACAGCTCCGGCTTCGTGCTCGTTTCATGCCTCAAATTTATTTTGACAGAGACGGACAACACAGCAGAAGATTGGGTTTGTGTATCTGTATCCATATGCATCCGCTTCAAATCCGCTGGCTCATCGTTTTCCTCCAGTTTCTTGACTTTGGATGGAATGGCAAAGTGAGTTTTGTCGGGGAAAAGAATGTGCTTTTCCAGCGGATCGCAACTTGAGTTGCGGTGGCTAATGCGTTCTCAAATTGGTTAACAATAGATTCCGGCTAACTTCCATATTTATCTGTTGGCATCTACGGACTGCAAAATCGAGAATCGTAATCAACTTTCTTTTGCCGAAACTATAACAATGGAAAAATGCTTTCCCCTCGATCCAGCTGGCGACTTACACTCCCTCCCCGGGGTGCCATTAAAAGAGTTAACCATCATACGAAGTCAGCGGCCAGGAGGGCTCAGCAGTGCTCAGTAGTGGTACTAGGCAGCACAATACAATGGACAATGAGCACATAAATCAGTGTAATTAATAGAAAACTAGCCAAAAGCCAGCCGATCGAGCCGTTCATCGATCCCCACGCATGAGCTGGCATTCAAACACGTGTGTGCCAGCTCCGTTTTGGTCACTCGCAATTGGATTTGGGATCGGAATACCAAATTGCCAAATCTCTCAACCTCATTAAGAGTTCGATGGGCATGCAGATGGAGATGGAAATCCAGACCGCACCAAGAAACTACGAAACTCTATCTATCAATATTTATGCCTGCTTAGTGTAAACACTTGGCGATGCCAGCGCTTTCCCATTATGCGTTCTCGATTGGGTTTTCGACCATTTATCTCACAGTTTGAGGCAAACGCATAAATCGCTCATCGCCCCGAGCAATGCGATATTTCAGTTCCGAATTAAAATAAATATTTAAAGGGGCAGTCTTAACGGATTTCAATTTATTATCAATAAAGCAAAATTCTAGCACCGACCTTTGCCCGGGCACATCAATCAACGAAGTCCGCAGCCCACGAGGTCGTCTCCAAGGAACTAATTCATTCATTTGCCCAGCTCCAAATCACTGGCCATTCATTTGCCAAATGTCCGGCCGGAGAACGGACCCCAAATGGATCAAAAACTCCGGATGCGGAAAGGGTGAAAGAGGTGACCCGCCTGGAGTGGGAAAAGTCGTAAAAAAGAGTCACCTGCAATAAGTCAGGGGCGAAACTCAAGCAGTTTGATGGCTGGCTGCTGGCTTGTCCTTCAAATTACAGCCTGATTAGACTCGTGGGACATCCGCACATCCCACAAACCATTCTCATCTGTTGTGGCCGACTGGAGATGCTCGTGCACCTTGGACGTGGAAAGGGGTTGCCGGGCCCAGATTGATGAGCTCTGCGGCTTCCTCTAAATAGCACAACCTGAGCAGCGAAAGTGATAAATATATGGCTGGGCATATGTCCGCAGTGATTTTAGTTAACTGGAAATAGAGGAATATAAATGGGGGCAAATCTCTATATATATATGCCAGGCGACGCATTTTCTCGTCGTATTTAGACGTTAATTAAGTTCATCGATCCATCAAAATTAATGCAAAACATAGTTGACATTAAAAAAATATTATAAAATTCAAGTCATGTAAGGGACTTACATTTAACTTTTCTAAGTTGAATTCGAACTGTGAAAGCATTAAAATAATTTATAATGCATTAAGCAATTTAAATACATGCAAAAGTGTAGACTTATTGTAGTTACAAACTCAACAGATAAGAACATAAATTCGGGTTTGGCCGGCGATCGTGTGACAGAAGTCTAAAAATTATTGACAAGTTCGGGGCATAAATTATGGCCTCGGCTGAGCGTTAATCGCACATTTAACTCGCAGGAATTAAACTGCAACTCGGGTAGCTTAAACGTTTGGCAAATCGCTGACTGGGAGCAACAGCGACGGCAGAGTCACAGGAGAACAACAACTTTGTTCCAGCGATAACAATCGTGAATGCAGGAGCAGCAGGAGCAGCCCCATCGATCCCGATCCCCATTTCGATTCTCCAGGGAATCCAGGGGAATGGAGCAAATCGGAGAACCCAGTGAGAGATGCAACGGGCCAGAACATAGTCAGCAACACAAATAATTCGCTTTAATGAGATCGCAATCTTGGCGATTTGCGACAAAAACACACGCGGTTCCATCTCCATAAACTCGGCTACAGATGCAGATACAGATACAGATTCCGATTCAGGTCTCTACAGCGCAGTGGTGTGCCATATGTATGTGGTGTGCGTGCGTGTGATCACTGCAGAGATGAAGATGAGCCAAAGTTGAGAATCTCGATCTCGATCGAACCACAAATCCCCAATGACGACCATCGAGCCCAGCGTCCAATCGATGCAACAACGTCGAAGGATCGCTGGCTACCAGTGTGCACAGTGCCAAACACTATTGGAACCCAAAATTAGGATTGTGATTAGTTACTAATTTATTTAGTAATTATTAAAAATTATAGCCAAATTACACGGGGCAATAATTCAAAAATTGGGTTCCAAAAACTCTCCGAATCAAATCTTATTTAATATATTTTAAAACAAATTTGTTAAGTTATTAAGTTGGATTAGTTAATAGATTCTGACTTAAATTCATGAATTTTATTATTAATTTATTTTATATCCTCTATTTATAAAGTGCCCTATCCGAGATAATATAGATAATTATAAGGTTTGAAAACATATAAATATGTACTTTCATAATTTGAATATAATATTTTTTAGATATATTTTTACCATTAAAAGTGTGGGCACTCCAACTACACCTGCAATGAGAACGCTAATTTCTTTGATTTTCGAAAGTTTTTCTTAATTGGCCCTAATTAATTTACGTGCATTTCTCGCAGTGTACCCCTTTGTTACTGCTGTTCTCCGCTGCTGTTGCGCTCATGTTGGCTGTCAGCGCGCTTGACTTGTTGCCTCCCTTCCCCCGCCGGCCCTTCTGGCCATCTTCTTCTCTGGTTCTCCGCTTGTGTGTAGCCCCGGCTTGTTGACATGCTCAGCATGCTTAGGCTTACAGCCAGTCCAAGTCCAAGTCCGAGTCCACCAATAAGAGCAACTGCAGCAGTCAGAAAAGCGTCCCAGAGATGTCAATGTGTCGTGGAAGGGGCCTCCCTTTTCGGCCGAAGAAGACGCGACCACGACACATGGCAATGGAATTTCAATAATTTAATGTAGACCTCCAGTCCACTAGATTTACCCCGACCACCGAGCTCCAGGCCTCCCCCTCTCACTGGCTGCCATCAATTCACAGCCGAAAGTTTTGCTCATCACGTGCCATGCCACGAACATTTTTTTCGAACAATTAATTGCTGCAATTAGTGCGACATGGCGCTGATTAAAGGCGGCGAGGCAAAGAAAAGCGACCCCCAAATGAAAGTTGGTCCTAACTGCATGTGAGATGATGAATGTTCGACAATTCCGAAAATGCTACAGCATTTTTAATACAAGAACACCAATCCAAATGCTCAAAATGATTTACCTTTAACAGTTGGCTTTCCAAATATGTCAATCTTTCTTTAGTATTTAAAATTAAAATTCCTATAAGTTTTCACCTCTTTTATTTTTTCGATAACAAATGCTTAAATTATTTTTCCAACTACTTGCCAGCAAGCACAGCCTTCAAAACATAGAGAAGACCCTATTACACCCTACTTTGAGTAACCTAACCATGTCCCGACCGAAAGCTTCAGTCAATCGTCCCACGGACTTAAGTCCTCCTTTAGTCGCGGAGACCAATCCTACGATTGTGTATCCCGAAGCACGAAAGGATGGTAAAATCGAAGAAATGCTGCATGAGTACAGAATAAGAGACGTCTATCGGTGGCTTGAAGATCCCGATTCGGCTGAAACTCAAAGATTTGTGAGTGCGCAGAACAATATTAGCCAACCGTTTCTCGAAAGATGTGAGGAATGGGAGGGTATCAATGCCAAACTGACAAAGCTCTGGAATTTCCCCAAGTATGGATGTCCCATGCGTCACGGGGATTACTACTATTATTTCAAGAACACTGGCCTGCAGAATCAGAGTGTTCTGATGCAGCAGGAAAACTTGGAGAGCCCCGAGGTGGTATTCCTAGACGCCAATAGTTTATCAGCCGACGGAACCACCGCTCTGAGCCATAAAACCTTCTCCGAAGATGGGGCGTACATGGCCTATGGACTGAGTGAAAGTGGTTCGGATTGGAACAAAATCCGTATTCGGAGGGCCAAGGAGCGCACCGATTTTCCCGAGACCCTGGAGAAGGTAAAGTTCTCGAATGTCTCCTGGACAAAGGACAACAAGGGCTTCTTCTACGGTCGGTATTCCGATCAGGATGGCAAAACTGATGGCTCGGAGACGAAGCAGAATGAGAACCAAAAGCTGTATTATCACCGGGTGGGAGAAAGTCAAGATCAAGATACTTTGATTGCCGAATTTCCCGAACATCCGTCTTGGCGGTTCCAAACCGATGTTACCGACTGTGGAAAATATCTGATTCTATCCATTAGTCATACTGTTCGCGATAATATGCTGTACTATGCTGATTTAAAACCCGAAGAGGCAATAACTTCGAAACTGGAGGTTAAGCCCATTGTTGACAAATTCGAGGCTGACTACGATTACATAACCAACGAGGGATCCAAAATGTACTTCCACACAAACAAAGATGCTCCCAATTACCGGGTTGTCGTGATTGATTTCAACAATCCTGCTGAGGAAAACTGGTCCACCCTAATACCCGAACACGAGAAAGACGTTCTGGAGTGGGCCAAGTGCGTCAACGAGGACAAACTGGTGGTTTGCTATAACCGCGATGTGAAGAATATTCTTCAGGCCCGTGAGTTGCATACGGGGAAACTCATCCGACAGTTTGGCCTGGATATTGGCTCCATAAATGGAATCTCCGGAGATAGGAAGTATTCGGAGATCTTCTATGGTTTCTCATCCTTTCTAACGCCGGGCATCATTTACCATTACGATTTTGCCAAGCCCGTGGAAAAGCCAAGAGTTCTGCGGGAAATCAGTCTGAATTTGGAGGGCTTTAACCGCGACGATTACAGTGTGGAACAGGTGTTCTATAAGAGCGCCGATGGCACCAATATACCCATGTTCATCATTCGAAGGAAGAGGGATAGTGTGGAGCCCCGACCCTGTCTGCTCTACGGATATGGCGGCTTCAACCACAGCCTCATGCCATCGTTTGGCATCACTGGTCTTATGTTTATGGACACATTTGACGGAGTTTTGGCTTTCCCAAATATTAGGGGAGGCGGCGAATACGGCATAGAGTGGCACAACGGAGGTAGATTGCTGAACAAACAGAACGGGTTCAATGACTTCCAAGCGGCCGCAGAGTTCTTGACCAAGAACAACTATACCACCAAGGACCGACTGGCCATACAGGGCGCCTCGAACGGCGGACTTTTGGTGGGCGCCTGCATCAATCAGCGGCCGGAACTCTTTGGAGCAGCCGTTGCCCAAGTTGGCGTTATGGATATGCTGCGGTTCCACAAGTTTACCATCGGACATGCCTGGTGCTCGGACTACGGCAATCCCGAGGAGCGGGAGGACTTCGCCAACTTATTTAAGTACTCGCCCCTGCACAATGTTCACATTCCGCTGAACCCGAACCAGGAGTATCCTTCGACTCTCATCCTGACAGCCGATCACGATGACCGTGTGAGTCCCCTGCACTCCCTTAAATTTGCCGCCGCTCTCCAGGAGGCCGTGCGGCACTCGGAATATCAACTCAACCCCATTCTACTGAGGGTTTATACGAAGGCGGGTCACGGAGCGGGAAAGCCAACTAAGATGCGCATCAACGAGGCCACGGACATCATCACGTTCTACAAGAAGACCCTCAATGTCGACTGTGTGAATCTATGAGAAAAATCAGAGGTGGGCTTTAGAATCTATTAAATTTAAAGCGTATACTTTTACAAGCAAATCCCTTTATTCAAATTAATTTGGCAAATATCTTTTCTTTCTGAAAACTATATTAAAATCTCTTGAACGCTTTTAAGAAAATTACCAAAAATTATTTTACAATTAGTAACTAGATATTTTGTTTTTTCAAGTGCTAAAGAAAAAACAAAATATTTTACTTAACAATTACAATAGTGAAAGTATTTTCAATTACCCTTTTTTTCCTTCAGCCTGATCAAGATAGATTTTAAAGGTTCTCATGTTTGAGGACTTACCCTGATGCCGTAAATCAAATGTTTAATCAGTTGAATTTAATTAGAAAAAAGGCGCACAAACATCGGAGCTGTCATGGCGGAGATGCTTCCATTCTGAGCACTTCTGCGACTCCATAATCGCATGATAGTCGAACGATTAACGTTCAATACGGTCGCTGAGCATGCGATATGAGGGGGAATGGGAATGGGTATACGCGATATAAGGAGGGCTTTTGGATAGGGATCGTGATCGAGGGGGAGGGCGGGACAGACAGAAGCTGCCAGAGGCGAACAGGCCGCCAGCTTCTGCCCACTGACATTGGGCCGAGAGCGTTTTGGTAGTTGTGTAATGTCTGCTGCCAACTTCGGGGACCCAGCATGGGTCTGCCGATCCCGATCCCTCCGCCGGGCCCTGGGTATCAGGGCAACGCGATCGAAAATGGATTTGTATCAATATCGACTCACTAACATGATTCCAATAAATTAATATGCATACATGGCAGGCACACAGACATCGACTGTTGTCTGGTTTTCAGCCGGGGCTTGGAGTTTGGAGTTTGGAGTCTTGAGTCTGCAGTCTGGAGATCTCGATCGACATCGCAACACGATGATGCATGTGCAGTGTCTCTGAGTTGTGATCGTGTTAATGTAAATAATTGCCAGCCAGTCGGACGAGGCCCAGTCGAATGGTCCTATAGTCGCAGTGTTGTGGCTGTGGTTTGGTAGATGTAATTAAAATCTCTCCGCTTCTCACTTTCTGCCTGCATTTTGTCCAGCTTGTTCGGCGTTGGCCAAGGAAGATTCGTCTTGACTGATATGAGAGTGCGCGACATACACGCAAGGCTGTTTCTTCCCCCTTGGATTCCTTTTTCTTCTCACTTCGGCCAGCTTGATGCTGACAGTTCACGATTTTGGGGAGATTTGCCGGGATTTGAGCGTTGAGTGAAGAGAAAACCTCTGAAGTATCTCGATTCAGTTGGCAAGTCGTCTAATTGCCTTTGCTATTTGCATTAGCCCAAATGGAAAACATTTTTAGAGGTGGTTACTTTAATTGCAATTAGCATTATCGGCTCTTGATTGCAAAAAGACTTTTAGCAATCCGAAAATATAATAGCTCTAGTCTCAATATTATAATCACTTAGCTATTGAGAAACCAACTATGTAGTCAAAAAAATACATTCTAAAATAAATTCCCAACCCTCTTCGAATCCCGGGAAATGTCCCGATAATCTGCTTTCGATTGGTCGTTGCTGAGCAATATCTCCAACTTTGAATGCAGATTGCTGCACGTGACCCAGGCTAAGAAAAAACAAAAGAAGAAGGGAGTTGGCTTTGGGCTTAGCTTGGGTTGCCTACTTCACTTACTCGTATGTCAAGATGGCCAAAAGGACCCGAGACGAGGCCCTTGTATCGAAACATTCTACTGTCCCCGGCTTATTTATGGCCCCAGATGCTAAAGATATAGCGCCAGACGAGGACGAAGACGAGAGGCCGAATAACCCAGCGACTTTGCGTGGATTATTTTAAAACAGATATCGGCGAGCGATGGTGACGGCAGTTCACAGGAACAGCAACACTGTGATACTCACTGAACAAAACTGATTTTGCAAAAGGAATTTTTAATTTTTACAGATTGTTTATGATGTTTTTAGAATTTAGTTGTAAAATGTTCTTGAAACAGGAACGAATCGTCTTGAAAATAGAACATTCAACTCAAAATTAAAACATTTGTGTTTACACGCAACCAAAAACACTTGATATGAAACGCTGATCGATTTGATGTTACGTGGTATCAATTTTGATCTTCTTATATGTACATAAGTCGCCATATTGCTTATCGCTTTCTTTTTCGGAGTTAGATAATCTCTGAGAGAGAATCTACCATGCGCAATTAAAACAAATATATTTACCAATTTTATGACAATATTTTTGCGAGTGTCGAATGGAGCGAAACTGAAACCGTAGCTGAAAGCTTCCATTTTCCGTATCGATGCATTGTTGATTAGTCTCAGCGATGCTGGTGCCGGAGTATTTGGGTTGCATTTCACCTGGCTGCAGCAGAGTCACGCACGCACTCCAATTCCACAGCGATTCCCTATCCCTATCCCATATACCAGAGACCAGCGACCAGATCCCAGCTGAGATCAGTAAAGTTGTCAATCACAGTTACCGATCCGCAGACGAAGCCCCTTCAATCTTGCCCGTTTCGCCAAAGTCGCCATGTCATTATTTGTGGGAACCAATCCAGAGGAGAATTCCTGTGTCCCGCGGTCTGCGCAAAATCGACAATCATTACTTGAAATACATGCCCAAGTAAAAGCGAGTCGCAGCAATCAATCAATCACGGCCACAAATCAAACATGTCAAACCCGAACTCGACTCGAATCGAGTCTTGAGTGGCTGTGGAATCGAGTTCAGCGCGCACAATGGCGCGCATATATGACAGATCATCGGCATTCGGATCGATACTGTATACAATTCGATCCCATCGCTGTACACTCTCGAGAGGTTTGGTTTCGTTTTTTCCCTGCCTTACATTTTATTATATTTATGGCTTTCTTGGATCATAAAGTGTCTCGAGTGCACGAATAGTTAAGTACACAAATAAAGGTTAATGAGCTTTTTCATTTCTCTAAGGTTTTTTTTAGCTCGTTGATAGGAGTTGTGACCAAAGAATAGGTACTTTTTAGGTCGATGATAAAACTACCTTTGCAGTTATTCATCAATTTATTTAAATAAAAAATAATAAATATCCAAACACATTTTTTAATAAAACAATTCGCCTATTTCTGATAATTCTCTGAATATCCCATTAGCTCCGGATTATAATCATTTGATTTGCAGTAATGGTTCCCCTAATGGGCGATGATCTTTCACACCTTACAGCATAATCTCTCAGTATTTTCGTTACCCCTTTATTTACGCATCCCATCCCGCTGATCCTGTGGTCCAGCGCTCTTCTCTATGTTTGTTTTCTGCAATTAAATTCGTATTCTCTTACAATTGAGGCGCTCAAGTGGAATTTCCACGAATATCATGGATATGGATACGCTGACAAGCAGATTGAGATGCAGATGCCGATGCCGTTGCCGTTGCGAGTTGAGGTTGAGTTGGAAGTCGATTCCGAGGCAGCTGCAATCTTGGCCGAGACTGTTGGCTGCGGTTCTAGGCCCATTTGTTGTTATAGGCCCTTGGTACTCGGTACCCGGTACTTGGAGCAGTGCGTGTGTGTTTATACTGCCGTTGGTGTTCTTCCCCTCTGCCGATCCGACTGAAATTATCAATGGGGGAGGCTGCGGGGCTGTCGGGGTCTCAAGCACCGTGCATATCAAAATAATCAAATTTTTGATTGAGTGCAGTTAGTGCGTCTGTGTTTACACATCGTAGACGACGATGATCGAGAGATCGATTCGACTCATATTCATTGCCCCGAGGAGCCTGCGTTTTCGTTTCGTTTTCAGTTTTGTGTCCAATCATGTTGTTGATATTGATAATGACATTGATGGCATCGAGTTGGTCTGAGTGACTATGGGCTGCAGAGAAAAAAACTAGATCATGTTGTATCATTGTTTTAGTGTTTATCCACCTTTATATAAATACTTAGAAAGGCCTCTTAAATCTTAGGTTATTCTTCACAGTGATATAATTTCTCAAAATTAACCTAGAGCTTAGATTTATTTTTTAAATTATTTAAAAGTGATTTCCAAAATATTTTAAAAATTAAAAATAATATTTATTTAATTTTTTCCGGTGTGACTACAGCTTTACATCTTGAACTCGATCAAAATCTCGAATTCAATCTCGAGTGCGAATGCATTCGATTGTTGTTTGCGCGGATTTTTGATTTCGAATTTTTCCCTGCTGCCTGATGGCTGTCAATCCGGTGAAATCCGGCACAGTTCGATGGAATTGGAATTGGAATCGTAATCAATATCCAGTCAGCCCCTCTTCCCAAGTCGAACGATGATACTGACATTATCGAGACACTTAAAAATTTGTCTGCGCACAGTACAAACTTCATGTAAGCGATAAATGCGCAAGTGCCAATGCGCAATGATATCTTCGAGGCACTTGTGTTGTATTATTATTGTTTTCTCATCATTAGACATGCGATACACTCGGAGATGAGGCCCTCGATGAGACACATTCATCAGGCTTGTTGGCAAAGTCGGGCTCGATCTTGATGGATTCGATGCACTTGGCTTGGGAGATAAGCACATCGGACAAGTGAAAGCGGTGTTTGGGTTTGTTCATATGGCTTGCCTTCTAGCCGGGATCAAATCGATATGCGCATGGTAAATTTACCATGCAATACTGATTTCTCTCTCGGAGATTCTCTGACCTTGAAAAAGAGAGCAAAAAACAATAAGGCGACTTAAATTACGTGAGTGGGAGCGAGAATAACAAATGTTCTCTATTCGAAATGAGCGGAATAGCGTTTAAAGGTTAATAACTGGCCTACATATCAGGTCAAAATTGATACCACATAATATCAAATCGATCATCGATCAATGATCAAATTTTGATGGGAGATGCAACTGCCATCCTTTTGCACAACCCCTGAAATCTTTCCTCACCTAAATTCCAGCTGGAAAATTCGAAATGAAAAAGAAACCACTGACGGTTCCGTGTCTAACAAAGATAAATATTGGCCTAAGCAAATAGAGTGCACATTTAATGGCGAATGATGAGCACAATGGTATCGAATTGACGGTCAACAATTGAAGCAATTAACAGAACACCCCG